CTCAAAACTTGACTTTACAGAAGAAAATGATGTGCTGCACACCCATTAAACTATTAGACTGATTTATGAATTTGGGAAAATGTTGGGGTTATTGCAGTAAATCAGAGATTACTGTTAGAATTTCCAATGTGTGGAGTACAGGAGTAATGTCACATGTAAAATGGTCAATTTTGTAATGCACGGATGAATAATAGTGACATGACAACATTACCATTTACAAAAAAGAAAAATTCAAAACCAAATGCTGATCAAATGCTTCAAGGAAGATGTAATATTCACTGTAGTTTTGTTATATTTCACAACAAACAGATGGCCTCCAAAGAGTCTTGAATTTTCAGGATTTTTTTTTTTTTTTTACTAATGCCATCAATATCAATACTATTATTATAAAATGGACAGCAACTGACAGCAATATAAGATAAAAGGGAATACTTCTAAAAATCAAGGAAATGAATAAACAGGTGAGACAGGTAGTACTAATAATTGATTCTTTGGTGACTATGCACTTGAAGAGCCATCTGTATAAACATAATAAACTGAATTCACAGTGAGAATGCCATATACAACCATACAACCCTCAATGACACTGGGTTAATTGTGTATTATTCAATTCAAACAATTATTTTTTTATAACTTTAATGGATAACACAACTATTATTGCCATAACCTACCATCAATAATACAAGATATATGGGATGACTTTAAAATAGATGATGAATCTGTCATTATCTATTAACTGATTCCTTTGCCAGTGCAGGCCTTCCTGGGAAAGGTGTGCGATCGCACTCACACGTGCTGGTACACACCTCCCCACTTTGGGGAGTGTGTTTAATCTCATGCCTATTTATAAAAATTCAGTTGTTATTTACAGTGCCAGGAATTAACAAGGTGACAGAATAGCTTTGATTCAAGTTTTTAAATTTGTTTGAATTGAGGGCTATAAAGTTCACAACCCTTGAATTAAAGGCTGATATAATTTACTGCATAATGCAAAACAAACGACAAAACACTAATAGCACTCCACCACACCCCTACCACAGTCTAGGGGTGCAAAATGCCACACTTGTGGTAATTTATTCCCAGGAAGGCCTGCAGCAAGTAAAATTCCATGAAATGGAAGGATTCAGAACATCTACACTTCATTATTTGGCATGAGAATACCTATCTTCTTAACCCAATGGCGCCGGGTGTACAAAACAAAAAAAAAAAAATCTACACTTAAACAAACAAAGGCAGCACGCCGACTTTGAGCGCGTGAGTAGGGGACATCAGCCCAAATCACTGGCTCGCCGCCGGCACGTTTGGCTGCACGCCAGCTTTCGAGCGCTTTGTTTACACGCCAATCGGCGTCACCCGGCACCAAGGGGTTAATAAAGAACTCTAACTACAGATCTTAAAAGTGAATCACTTTGATATTCTCACATCTACCCCAATAAAATTGTGTATATTTACCCTTTTTAGAGCTTGCTTCCATTAACAGATTCACTTTATCTAGTTCTTCCTTGAGTTCTTTGACAAGCAAATTTGACTGCTGAAGAGCTGCTGCACTCTCTTCCTCTGCTGCCTTCTTGGCACGCTCCAAACATCCATACTGCTCACTGGCCTCTTGTAAGAGCTTGCGTAATTCTTCAACTGCCTTCTCCAACTCAGTGCAACGCTCTTTCTCATCCTGGCAGGAAGCTGAAGGAATAGAGAAACCATTTTACTAAAAGGCACTACTTCTCACTCTGTATTATTTCAGGCTATGACTTGATCATTCATTCAGTCAGTCACTAATTCACTCACTCTTTACTCTCACTCACTCATCAATTCATTCACTCAAACATATAAAAACATGTGTATATAATAATAGCAATGGTAGAGTAGTAAAAACTGAAAAAGCTAACATACAAGTACATGAAGAAGTGGCACAAACAGTAGCAGAAGTAGATGTAGAGAACAAGTAGTTAGAGGAATAGAAAAAAAAGAGACAGAACAGTGAAAGATAGAAAACACACCAATAACTGAATCACTTAGAAAGTAAAAATACATACCTTGATAAATGTCAGCCAGTTTCTTCTGTGCTACAAGTTCTTGACGGTAAGTTTCATCCAGTTTCATTTCTGATTCTCTGGATGCATTCAAGGCTGACAGAAGTTCTTCAATCCTTTGCGATTTTTCTTCTAAGCCCTTTTGTGTCCTCTCATTTTCCTCTCTCTCCACTCGTAACTGGCAAAAGCAATATAATATATTAGATTTGTAATACAAAAATATCAAACATGTACTATGCATGTATGTCAATATAAGAATATGTTTACACAATATGACCGCAAGAAATCTTATCTTCAAAAAGGATAATCATAATATAATCACATCAGTAGACAAAATTAGAGAGGAAAGTTGTACATGTAGTAAGATCTATACTAAAATATTATTTTATCATAGAGTGAAATCCTATAACTTTTGACACTAAGATATTTTGCACACTGAGTTAGTTTAACAGAAATCATTGTCATAATTACTTTCAATGTTAAAAAGAGAACAAATCTTAGCTATAATAGTGGCCAAGAATTAAAGACCATATGCTTCTATGTCTTGTCCTGGATGTGATATAACAATCTATTAACCAATTAATTAACATCTGGTATATTTCAAAGCTAGTGTTGATACAGAACTCTAGTACATGTGAAATTAATTTCCAGAATGTACTACAAAAAGGTTCACAATGCAGAAAAGAGCACAGAAAATTACACCAAGTCTGGTCTATTCTACAACTATATATACACAAATGTTGGCAAAAATTTGAGCACATGTAAAATACTCATTCCAGAATGGCTTTATGTATTTCCTCTCTGATATTGGGGAGAAAAAAAAATCCTAATCATTTATAGCAGCACATAACTGTTTGCTACATAATAACTATCAACACAATAAAACTGTTTTGTCAGATTACCTCTTCCAGTTTGTGATTGAGATCTGTCTGTAGTCTGAGAATGGTTGTCGAATGCTCTCTACGCTGGCTGACACTCTCCTCCACTCTCTGCTCCAACTGCTGTTGTAGGCGATCCACCTGGCGTGTTAGGAGACTCCGTTCTTGCTCTAGTCTCTTCTCTCTGCAAATATCATGTTGTCATTAAAATAATTTTCTAAGAGATATTTATATATCAAATGCTTTTAACTTTATCAAAAAATGGTATGCATTATCATTCCATTTATGCAATAATATTCTTGGAAATTACTGACTTGTACTGCAAGTGTAGCTCCCTGCTCCCAGCTTCTTCAGCCCTTATGACAGCCTCACATTTTGCTCTTGTTACTACTGTCAATTGTTCCTCAAGTTTTTCCACCTAAAATTAAAACACAGAAATCATAAAGTTATCATAATAAACAATGTATAAGATTCTTCCTTTCCACTGAAACTGACTATAGTTGAATATAGATATAAATATATTAGCAAACTATATTCACATTAGCAGCTCTTTTAATGCTAACAATGTCTCATCTTACTTTACAATCTTTGCTCTATTGCATTACACTGAATATATATTGATATTTTCTTTGTTAGAATTCAAGAGTTAGCTAATACAGTAGTTCCCAACTAGTAGGTCACAACCCTCAAAGAGGTTGCAGAGGGCTAGTAGGTAGGTCGTGAAGGCTTGGGGGGAAAATAATGCCCAATTTACTAAGCATCTGTCTGTACTCTTATTGAGATAATACTATGAAGACATCAGTTAAAGGATTAATGTATTACAATAGGAAAAATAGAGCCTGAAAATATTACTCAATATCTCATTTTCCTTAGCATGACAATTATGTCAGGTGTTCACAGATGTCTGAGATTTCAGAAAGGGGTCACGAGTGTGAAAAAGGAAAGGAACCACTGGTCTAGTATATTTCTGTATATCCCCTAACAGTGAAACAAAAATAAGCTAAAGCACAGCTAAACCCATATGTGACATCTTATCTCTTCTTGTAAAATACCTGTTCTTGTAGTTCTTGTATTCTTTTATTTCTTGACTCCAGGCTGCCAGCCATAGCAGCAGACTGTGTTGATGCATTTTCTTGTTCACTGTGTGAACTAGAAAGAAAAGACATGAGTTGTCTATGTAGCTCTAAAAGCATTTTGATATTAACGAGCTGGGTTTCAGTCTCGAATATATGGAGAAGATCTAATTCTATCTTGCTCCCTCCCTAGTTTTACATTCTACTCATGAAAACAGATTTTTTTTTTCTGAGTGTTTAACAATATATTACACTAAGCAGCACTTAGTTAAAATTTCAGTATAATAGCTATAGACAAGCTAAAATACAAAAAAAAAAAAAAAACTTACTGCTGAATTTCCCGAGACAAAGCATTGATTCTGGCCTTGGCATTTTGGACTTCAGTATCAGACTGGTTTAGCCTCTGTTCTAGTTCTTCACTTCTTGTCTTCACCTCATCCTTCAATCTGGTTTCTTCTTCTAACCGCGTGCGGATTGCAACCAGTTCTCGCTCTAACTGGAACTTTTCCTGGTCTGTCAACAATCAAGGGAGAGTGGTGTCTGTTATTCATAAAGTTCCTTTGTAGACAAACTTATTTTTGATTTTATATATTTGTTATAATACCTCAGATGCATCTTTTCTTCCACAGCATCAACAAGACTCTATTCTTCTCATGCTTAATAGTAAACTACATTAAAACAAAGTAAAATCTCATAAACTGATAATCTTCCTTAATTTTTGGGTAAGCATAGCATTTCCTTTGCTTTTCAGTCTTATCTTACCCCATAATATCACCATACAATCACATTTACATTCTCTGTTTTATCACAATAACAGGATTTACCATTTCCAAACCTATTTCAACACTTTAAACTGATAGCACAATATTGAGTATATCATTTTGGGTTGAGATATAAAAAGGACAGCATCAACATGGAGGAAAATTAAACTGCAGAAGAAATATGATATCAGGAAGTCCACAAAAATGTGCCATGTTTCTCCCATGACTTATGTCCAGCCTTCCCTCAACTTGAAGCAA